AGAGAGAAGGAGGGAGGGAGGGAGGGAGGGAGGGAGGGAGGGAGGGAGAGAGAGAGAAACTCTTTATCCATTCATTGTTGATGGTCATCTACTTTCATAGTATTTCTGAGTTATTTTGAATAATGCCACAGTAAAGTTTGATGTGCAAGTATCTCTGAGGTTCACAGGATCAGATTCTTTTGGGTATGTGCCCAGAAATGGCTTGGATGAATCATAGGATATTAAAGTTTTAATTTTAGTTTTTTGAAGAATCCCCATGTGGACTGCACTACATTGCACTCATTCCATCTGCATTCTAGAGGAGCCTCATGTCTCCAGGATTCTCACCAGCATCTGCTAGTTGATTTCCAAGTGAGCATCAGTCTCAATAGAGTAAGAGGGAATCTCAGTGATGTTTTACTTTGCAGGTCACTGACAGCTGATGGTTTGGACTCTTAACTTGTGTATTTACTAGACATTTGTAGTTTACTCTTGGATATTGCTCCCTTAATTTTATTTATTATTGCAGAATGGATGATTTAGGCTTACATTTCTGAGTTCGCTGTATACTCTAGAAATTAATCCACAGTCAGAGGTACAGGAGGACAAGACTTTTTCATTCCATAACCTGTCACTTCCTTTGAATTTTGTTTTTGCTATACAGAAACTTCATAATTTTATACAATTAATTTATTGTTAAATTCCATTTTCCTGAGATTTTGGAATGATTTTCAGAATGTCTTTGCATATGCTTATTTCTGTTTTCCCTATGATGATATTTTAAACTTCAGTTTAAAATATCAAATCTTATGTTGATGTTTTGAAGCATTTTTGTATTGATTTTGATGATGCTTGAGAGGTGAATATCTAATTTCATTCATTTATATGTGAATTCTCTATTTTCCAATACCACCTTTAAAAGGATAACTTCACTCCAAGGTGTGTTTCGAGAAACCGGCAAATATCAGGTTGCTATGCCAACACTGCACCTCTGAGCTGAAAGCTTTGCCCATTACTAAATTTTTGATGTTTCTTTTTTTCTTTGTTACAGTTTCAAAACTGCGAACAGTGAGGATTTTATTTTCTAAAATTCATTTTAGTGTTTAACAATAAAATAAATTTTCATTACTGTTTAAGTAGGGATGTTGAAAGAAAAAGAGAGAGTATAAAACAGACAGTTGCTAATTCTTCCTATCCTAGCAATCATTAGTTACCTGAAGTTTTTGCCAATGATGGGTCTGCAGGAGATGTTCCTACTTCCACAGTACCATGTCTACTGATATTGTCATTGTTCAATTCTTATTTAGGCAGCCATGTCTAAAAATCACAGTCTGTCCACCTTCATTATCCTCTGGTATTGGATTTTTCTTTGGGCTGCCAGCTCACAAAAATAACACAGAAATTTCTTATTAATTATGAAAGATTGGCCTATAACTTAGGTTTGTTCCATTAGTTCTTTATACTATTTGTTTTCATTTTTGTTTTTTGGTTTTTTGAGACAGGGTTTCTCTGTGTGGTTTTGGTGCCTGTCCTGGATCTCGCTCTGTAGTCCACGCTGGCCTGGAACTCACAGAGTTCCACTTGGCTCTGCCTCCCGAGTGCTAGGATTAAAGGCGTACAGCTACCACCATCTGGCCTCCACTAGCTCTTATAACTTAAATTAATCTGTGTTTATTAATATATGTTTTGCAATGTGTCTTTTCACTTTTCTTTCATACTGTATGTCCAACTCCATCCATGTCTTGTTGGTATCTCATCTGTGCCTCAATTATCACCTCTTACTTTCTCTCTCTGCCCAGAAGTCCCACCTATACCTCCTGTCTAGCTATTGACCATTCTGTACTTTATTAAAACAATCACAGCTATATACCTTCATGCAGTGTACAAATCACCCACAACACTTTGCCTCTTGCAATCCTGCCTTCCCTCCCTCCTCTTCCATGATGCAAGACTTTATCCTGCGTCATCAGGGGAAATGCAAATCAAAACTACTTTAGATTTCACCTTATACTGGTCAGAATATTTGAGATTAATAAAGCAAAGTTCATGCTGGTGATGATGTTGAGTAAGGGGAACACTTGACTCACTGTTAGTGGGAGGGCAAACTTGTTCAGCTACTATGGAAATCAGTGTGTTGTTTCCTCAGAAAGATAGGAGTTTGCTGACCTCTAGAACACACTATCCCATTCTTCAGAATTTACCTACCAAAAGGATGGTTCATATTCCTGTAGATACACATGATTAATCATGTTTATCACTGCTCTATTTATAAGCCAGAAATTGGAAACTATATAGATGTCTATCAATGAATGATGAATGAATAAATAAAACATGATGCATTTATACAATAGTATATTATTCAGTTGATAAAAAAAGAGAAAGGGAAAACTGAATCATGAAATTCACAGGTAAATAAATGGAGCTAGAAAAGTCATCCTGAGTGAGGTAATCCAGACCCCAAAAGACAAATATGGTATATATTTGCTTATATGTAGATGATAGCTGCTAAGACTTTGAACAATGGGCTATAATCCACACAACCACAGATGTCAGGGATAGATTAGGGAACTGTGAAGGGGAGGTTGGATCACCCTAGGAAGAGGAAATAGATGAGAGATTAATGGATGGATGGGGACAAGGAGACTGGAATTGGTGGATAAAAGGTAGAAGGAGAAAGAAAGGTAGGGTAAGGCAGGGGACATAGAGAAGGACAGCTAAAACTAAAGGCCACTTCAAGGGTCAAAAGGGAAACCAGTATAGTAGAAGCTTCCTAACAATTATACATTGAATGCAATCTCCATGGAATCACCAAATGACAGGGGCACAGAGCCTCACCTGAGCATCTCTCAGCATTAAATGAAGTCTCCAGTTCCAAGAACAACAGATAGAGTTGTTGGCCAAAGGGGCCCAATGGGAAGCCACGGACAACTCAAGCTATTATTGCTTGCTCTCCCCATTTTGTTGAAGACAACACCTACTCAGCATGAAGAACATGGAAAATTCGAGTGGGTGCCTACCCATAGGGTTCACCTCTGTTGACTAGTGTTCTGGTCATTTATAAGGTAATAGGGATGCTAGCAGCAGAGAAAGCTAAATAGCAACCCAGCTGCAAACCCTTCAATCCACACTAGTGACCTGCCTGCAGGATGCACTAATGCAAGAGTGACACAAAGCTTGTGAGAGTAACCTACCAATGTCTGTCTGCACTCAAGGACCACTACATGAGAAGGAACCATTTTCTGACACTGTTCAGGTGTGACTTGATGGGCCTGTGTCCTAGGGGAAAAACCAAACACTACTGTCCTGCTAAAGATACCAATTAAATGACTCCTAAAGACATTTAGCGTTACTCATAGATCAGGGTCTTTCTCAGCCATCATCAGAGAAGCTTCCTCCTATAGTAGATGGAAATAGCCACGAAGATCAACAGTCGCACAATGTGCAGGAAGTGAGAGACCATGGAGCGCTGGTGCTAAATGGAATGTTTCCATCAAATTCCTCATGCAGAGTTCAGCAGATCCCGCAGAAAAGGAGGCAGCAAAAGTATAAGCGCCAGAGTGGCTATAGGACACCAAGGAAGCAAGGGTTTCTAAACACAGCAGGACTAACGCACATATGAACTCACAGGGATTGTGGCAGCATGCATCAGGTCAACAACGGTCAGGGCCTGAGGAAGTCCCAGTGCTGAGAGAACTGGACACAAACCCCCATCCTTAACAGAAACTACCTCCTATTGATAACTTCTTGCAAATTAAAAAAAATAAATAAATAAATAGTGTTCTATAATGGAGTTTCACAGGACATACCAACTAATCTTAAGGCAAGACTCCATGCCCAGCAGTCGATGGCCACCAAAAACCCAACTGCATGGAATTTGAGGAGTTTCTCTGTCTTGTAATGCTTCATCCAGGCTTTCTTTTCTCTTTCTCCTTTTCTTTCCTTTCCTTTTCTTGTCTCCCCCTCCGTCTTTCTCTTTCTCTCTCTTCATTTTCATTTTTCCTTTTTTCTTACCTTATAGGAATATATGTCATGGTTTCATTAAATTCCTACTTTTAATAAATTATTTCAAGGAATGCACGAAGAAATACACAATATATACCAGAAAACCTCAGGACAATTCAGAGGCTCAATGTTGACAAAATATAAACTAATCTCAAAAACTGTTCTGTGCTCAAAACTAGCTGTATATGAAAGTTTTTCTCAAGAGTAAGCACACAAAGGATGAAAAAATAATGTGGTCCAATGGGACTAATATTTATAAAGTCTGTTAGAGAATGTTAGCAGTCTTGTCCATATGAAAGAGTCAGAGTTTCAAAAAATATGGACCCTAATACCATAATTTCAGAAATGCTGAGGCCCCGAGATTTGTTTCAGGGCTAGAGTCATCGAAAGTTAACCTTGAGAGGTGACTATATAAAGCTATGAAAGTAAAGCTAAGGTAGCTGTGAATATTCTAGCATGTTTGTAATGCCAGGATCACTAGTTATTCACCAAGTAAAGCTTTAGACATGGAATGGAGTTAGCCCAGATGTAAGCCTCCTGTATGTATGATGTAAGCCTCCTGTATGTATGATGTAAGCCTTTTGTATGTATGATGGAAGCCCCCTGTATGTATGATGGAAGTCTCCTGTATGTATGATGGAAGCCTCCTGTATGTATGATGGAAGCCTCTGTATGGAGGAGTGGCACTAAAAACTGGGGAACACAGATGATTCCATTGCCACATATGGAGCTGTAGAATTTGGCATTTGCCTTTATTGATTTTGTTCTTGCTTTTTGTTGTTGTTGTTCTGATATTTCCTTGCTATGTTGACATTTTAATTTGAAATGTAAATGTTTCCACCATTCCATTTTATATTTTAACTATGTAACTTATGACATCTAACTAGCATCCATGTATCTATCTATTTATTTATCTATCCCTTTATCTTTCTGTATTTCTATCATCTATCTAGCTGGCTAATGATTCATATAGGTGTATTAGTCTTTTTTTAATATTTATTTATTTATTTATTTATTTATTTATTTATTTGTTTGTTTGTTTGTTATGTATACAGTATTCTGCCTGCCTGTGTCCCTGCAGGCCAGAAGAGGGCACCAGATCTCATTACAAGTGGTTGTGAGCCAGGTGGCTGGGAATTGAACCTCTGGAAGAGCAGTCGGTACACTTAACCACTGAGCCATCTCTCCAGCCCCATATAGAAGAGGGCACCAGATCTCATTACAAGTGGTTGTGAGCCACCATGTGGTTGCTGGGAATTGAACTCAGGACCTCTGGAAGAGCAGTCAGTACACTTAACCACTGAGCCATCTCTCCAGCCCTATATTAGTCTTATAGAAGAATCTGCACTTAAACTGTTCAGCAGTGTTGGAACTATTAAAGACTATGGAGACTATTGGAATTGATTTTAGTGCATTTTGTATTATGAGATGGTAATGAACCTATGAGGAAAAGTGTGAAATATTATAATTTAAATAGCAAAATTTTTAGCATGTTAAAAGGGGAGGATTTGTGAATACTAATCTCACTTGTAATTGTGATGAGATATCAATATTTTATTTATATACACTTACATAAATACACACACATACATACATATACATATATATATATACATATATTCATATGTTTATGTGTGTGTATATGCACATTTCGTAATGTAACTGTGGAGATCAGAGGACAACCCAAGGAAGTCAGGTTTTCCTTCTACATGTGATCTTCAAAATAAAACTCAGATATCAGGGTGTCAACAAATAACTTTATCTGCTGAAAAATCTTGCTAGCCTTATATGGATTTAGAATCACTTTATAAACAAATCTCATGGCATGTCTTTGACATATTTCCCATACCTGATTAACTAAAGTCAGAAGAAACATCCCCACTGAAAATGCCACGTACCATCATCATATAGGCTTTGTTCCTTAGATGAATACAAAACAGTGTGAGAATCTCCAGAATTCATTACTCTCTACTTGATGTTTGTAGATGCAAGACAACCAGCACCTCAAGTTCTGCTGCCCTGTTTTCCTACCATGAAAGTTTGTATCCCCAAACTATGACAAAAGATAATCCTTTCTTTACATTGGTTTCATACCATATTTTTATGACAATAGTAAAAAGAGTAACTAACTTGCAATGCTCCTAAAAATATTGCATGCTATTCAGTTGACTGTATGCTTAGAACATATTTGAATAAAGGGATAGACAGAAGTCCTGTGCTGAATGAGGAAGCCAGTAAATTCAGGAGCTCAGAATGAAATTTACAGAACAATTTGCTTTATGAAAATATATAAAATCTGTGACATGATCACCTATCTTTCTATATTCTAAAAAAGTTGAAATGATAAGAGCTGAGACACTGAGCTTCAGAGATGGTATGTAAATAAAGGCTACAAGATCATATCTAATATTATTGTTTCATGTCATAAAAAAACACTTTCCACTACTGTTAATGTCTTAGACTTGCAGCAATTTTAATATTGATAGTAGTTGATTAAAGCTTTCAGTAGAATAAAATGATGTGTATTTATTCTTAAATGGGTTTTAAATCTTAAGTTAGTTCTGTACTCTGCCTTGTTGATTCCACTATTATTTTTATTGTTCTTTCCAATAGTGATTTCTGGAAGTAAGCCATTTGTTTGGTTATTGCATAGAGATATGGTCCAGTTTATGGAGTCCAGAGGTAAAGGCCAATTCACAGACCGTACAAAAGTGCTTTTTTTGTCTATTACATAAATATAATATAGTACATAAAATTCTGCAGTGGTAATAGTTCAGAAATATTTGATCCAGCACTGTCCTCAACTATAATATATTTAAAGATAATTTCAAACCAGCTACTTCTCAATGGCCCTGTTCTTAATGCAAAGTAATATCACATACAGTTTAGATACAAATAAAGTGTTAATTTCTGTTCAAGTTACATATATAATTTTAGTACTCTATAAAATTCTGATCCTGTATGTTGCCTGCAATATTTATCCACTCAATATTGTATAACATATTAAGAAAAAAAAGCATGCTGTATACATTGAAAGCATCATATTTTATACATCTTTATGCTTTTTCTAATTCTTTAGTCATGGATATTACAATAAAATTAAATTACCCACTTAAAAAAATAGTTGCAGTAATTGAGTTCAGTAAAGAGAGTCCATTGTTCTGCCACATAAAAACCTGAGTTCAGATCCTCAACTGTCTTCCAAAAGCATTGGGAGTTATCCATCTGTAGCTTTGTGCTAAGGAGACAAGACAGATAGCTTCTGGGAATTCACCTGCTAGGTAATATAGCCAAGCTGTGAGTTACAGATATTTTTAAAAGATGTTTTCTCAAAACATAAGCTCTCTGGGGAATGAGGAAGACACCTGACATTGACCTCTGGCCTCAACACACATGGCTATGCACATACAACATATCTAAAAAAATGCAAAATAGTCAGTGTTTGTTAAATAATTTGAATTGTAATAAACTCTAATTAAAAGAGATTAATAATGAAATGACTATTAAAATAGTATATTCTGAACATATACTGTGGCTTATAATCTTTCTCTACTGTTTAGACAAGCTCTTCCTGTTTAATTTTCCCTGGTTTGAAAATTTTACATATGTTTTACAGCTGTGCAGTATCACTATTTATAAGTAAGCAGTCCCTTCACAGAATAAAATAAATGCCACTTGAACCTGAACTTGGATCATCACAAAATGTAGAGATTGTCATAGGAAATTATTTTTAGATGTGTTACGTTTAGTTTTGCTGTAGAACATTTGTTTAATGATGCAAAGCTATGTTGTATTTGTTTGACTCTGTGGAGCTGTGTTACTTTGCCTGTCTAAAACAGCCAATGGTCTAATAAAGGCCTGAATGGCCAATAGCAAGGCAAGAGAAAGAATAGGTGAGGCTGGCAGGCAGAGAAAATAAATAGAAGGAGAAATCTGAGATGAAAAAAGTAAGGAAGTAGCCAGAGAAGGAGGACTCCATGGCCCAACCACACAGCAAGCCATGGAGTAAGAGTGAAAGTAAGATAGACAAAAGTAAGAAAAGGTAAAAGCCCAGAGGGATTTTAACCAAAAGGTAGACAGGCTAATTTAGGTTAAGAAAAGCTGACAAGAAACAATACAAGTTTCGGCTGGGCATTCATATGTAAGAATATGACTCCTCTATATGTGTGAATTATTTGGGAGCTGGATTGCGGGCTCCTCAAAAGAGTAAAACAAAACAAACAAACAAAAAACAATAACAAGAAATATTGATAAAATGGATGATTAATGAGCAATTTGTTGGAACTGTAATTCAGGAAATTAAATTAAACAACTCACTAACATTTTAAAGCATTATGTGGACCTCTCTCTCTCCCTCTCTCTCTCTCTCCTTCCCTCCCTCCCTCCCTCCCTCCCTCCCTCCCTCCCT